TTGTTTTGTCTCCATAAAATATAACACTCTATCATTTGTTCTGAAGCTTATATTAGCCTAGGTAAATTAATCTAAAACTATTCAAATCTCTCTTAAATTGAACATGAGTTTAAAAATGTGGCAGAACTGATCCCAATCATTTTTTTTTTTTGCAGAAGTTATCCTACTGTTGGTTACTTAAGAATTTTCTTAATTTTATTTTGCATTTAGTTCCTAGAAATCTCTTCTTCAAAGAGATCTTCAAAGAAATCACTTGCTATCCTGTTGCTGTATGATTTATACAGATGCTTGCTCAAAATAGCCAAATTTGAGAATGTTTTGTGCACATAAATAGTGATGTATCTCAAGCTTTTCTTGATATTTAACACTTGTCTTCTATATTCAAACATACTGCTACTGATGGTGTTTAATGAACTAGACTTATTTGTTGAGTGAAGAAAATAATCAAGGAAAGATTTACTAAGTCTTTGAACCCACAAAACATTTTTTTTACTATTATTATGCAAAGGAGAGTGACCATCTGTTCTCTATCTCCATTGAAGTCAGAACATGAGGAAATAAATTGCAGTATGAGGTAGTTAGGTTAGAATAACTGAGGAATTTCCTGACAGGGTTGTTAACACTAAAATGAATCAGGAAGAGAGGTTGTGAAATTTTCTTAGATTCTTCCCTGCCCCCACTCCCTTAATATGCACGTTTGGTCTTGTAATCTAATAGACTTCTCCAGATTTAGTTGTCTTTACCTATGATTTCACAAATGTGTTTCTTTCAAGTTTAACATCAGAGGGAGGACCAGGAAAAACTAACAATAATCAAATAATAGCTGAGATTTGTTGAGTTTTTATTATGTAGAAAGCTCTGTGCAAAGGACTTTGCATGCTCTTTCCCATTTGAATACAGTAACAAATCAGGTAGTTAGTTCAGTCTACATGAATTCTGTGTAGAGCTCTTAGATTGATGATGGCTACCACACACCAAAAAACTAATTACTGGCAGTCGATTTGTATATCTCTTAAACTTACTATAAGGATTGAAGAGTCACCCTACTATAACTGTAGTAATTCACATATTTTGAGAGGGACAGAAATGTAGCATGAGAGATGACTTGGTTAGGTCACTTTGGATATGTTAGTATGGCACTGAGAGCCTGACTATTAATTTCATGGAGCTGTATCAGGGAACTTGTGATTTCCAATGCTCCATGTTATCTCTGAATAATTCAGTGAGCTGAAGATCATTGTTTTTCCTTCCAAAAGGCAGAATGCGTTTCTGCAAAAGAATGAAACCAAGTGGCTCTCAACAGTCGTAACGTAGAAAAGAAACCCATGTTTTCAATGGCTCTAGACATTTGAAGCCCAAATGCTAATATCCATCTCATTGCCATCTCTTCCTCTTCTGAAACAAACCCTTCTCTTTAGGTTTTCATAATGGATAAGTCTTAGATCTTTCCTGAGTTTGTCAGCCCTGTGTGATGAAGCTTATTTTTGTGTTTGTTCTTTGTGTTCTTTTGATTGTAAACTTTAGCAACAGGGATGGGCCTTGATTTTACAACCTTGTATGCATGTAGTGACTTCATTGATGGGAGAAGTAGTAAGTCCAGCTGAAGGAAATAATTATGATGGAAACATAAGTTGACAGTTTGCTTGAATCACCTGAGCTGATGAAAGGAAAGAACATTTTCCTCTTTTGATAAGGCTTCCCAAATGGACTCATTTTCTTTAGCTATGCTTGCACTACTGTTGCTATTTCCATGAGTTCTAGTCTAAGTTTCATGAATATTAGGAGTTCCCAAGAGTGGGAGCAGTTGAACAAGAAGTCCAGAGCTCTGAGTTCTAATCGAGGCTTGCTATTTGAGTCACCAAGATTAAACTGACACAGGTTTCAAAACTGAAACAGATTATCTTTGTGGCTTTTATGTTGTTTCAAACAACTTTTAAAATAATTTTTTTCAGAAGAGCAATGATCAAAAACAGTACAGAGGTATCTATAAGGCCAACTATTTCTTAGATAATTCACAGATAATTTAAATTAAACACCTCTAAAAAAGTGAGTGAATAATTTACCAAGTTTTGTCATTGCCCTCTTGTCTTCGTTTAAATTTTTCTTTTCCTTTTTCTTCTTTTTAGAATTGTTGATAGAACTCTGTCATTCCCATCCACGTGGACAAGTGGCCTTTAAATTTTGGGGCTTACAGGAGGGCAGTATAATACAGTGTACATTTGTTTGGGCTCTATAGTTAAATACTCCCGGCTATTAGCAGTGTGAATTTGGGCAAGATCATAAGCTCCTTTTGCTTGACTGGGAAAGTAGGGATAATAACCATAACTCAGGAAATTGTGAGAATTCAATGAGATAATTCAGATAAGATCGTTAACATAGTCCCGTCCCACGAGCTTGTACTCCGTGAATGTTATTTCTCCTCCTCCTCCTCTTCTTCTGCTCTTTCTCCTCCTTCCAAGGCTTCTTTGAGTTCTAGAACCCTTTGAGAAGCTAATGAGAGCTCTGACTCCAGCAAATGAACATATGTCTACATATTTTAGATAACTTAATAAAAATTACTCAAATTATTGATTCACAGTGTAGATTATATGATAGAAAATTTTATACTTTATATATTGAAAGCCTTTTATTTTGATTAAAATAATGGTAAAATGAAGACTAATTATTTAGCTGCATTTCATTTTATCTATAATTCTGTTTTATGGTTATTTTTATTAAATATTTTTATTTTTTAAATTTTTTTAATTTTTTTTTTTGCAGTACACAGGCCTCTCACTGTTGTGGCCTCTCCCATTGTGGAGCACAGGCTCCGGACGCGCAGGCTCAGCGGCCATGGCTCACGGACCCAGCCGCTCCGCGGCATGTGGGATCTTCCCGGACCGGGGCACAAACCCGTGTCCCCTGCATCGGCATGTGGACTCTCAACCACTGTGCCACCAGGGAAGCCCTATTTTTATTTTTTAAATTAATTTTGTACTAAACTTTTTATTTTGAAATAAATTTAATTTAAAGAAAAGTTGTAAAGATAGTACAGAGAGCACCCATATCTTCAATATCTGGCTTTTCCTATTATTACTATGTTATCTAAATAAGCTAAGAAACCAAAATTGGTACATGTATTAACTAAACTCCAGATTTGATTCAGCTTTAACTTGTCTTCCATGAATGCTTTTTTCTATTCCAGGATTCAGTCTTGGGATAGAAATTGTTTATAACCATCATGTCTCTGTAGTCTTTTCTAGTTTGTGAATTCTTTCCTTATTTTTCATGATCTTCACATTTTTGAGAAATATTGGTTGGAGATTTTGTAGAATGTTCCTCAATTTGGGTTTGCCTGATATTTTCTCATAATTAAACTAAGGAAATTGAGGCTTAAAGAGGTCAAGTAACTTGACCATACCAGTAGAAGCTGGGCCTGGAACTTAAAATAAGTTTTCTTCATCCCAAAGTATATGATTTTTCCACTATATATGAATTACACATATATAAAATATACTTTAAAAATTTTGTCATAATATCAAAATGTCTGAGAGTAAGGGGTTTTAATAGTTATTTTAATAATCTCATTAAATTTTTTCTATAATAGTTTAAGATTAATAGCTATTTCACTTGGATACAGTAATACAAAAGTGATTTTGTGGTCACAGTATTCCCAGATCCAAGTATATTCTGAATATTACTACATTTCCAAAATTCTCCAGGTGGATAAAAATTCATTATGTTAAGAAGCATTTAGCTGAAGGTGCTGCTGAAAGCAGTCTCACTTCATTTTCCTCAGAGTGCACACTTGCTGCTAATTTTGTTTTTGCATTGAAAGTAAGCATCAAAGAAAAAAAAAATGTTTGACAGGTACAGGGGAAAGTCATATCAGAGTCTTGTGAATATTGTTTGAGAGATGTTAATTTTTAGGCATACAGTTCCTAATTCTCAAAGATACTTAAAATATTATTAAAAGTCATTGAGTATGGAAAAATCCATAAATCCCTGCAAAACCTTGTAAAATAAATTTCCTGGTAGCTGAACAAAGAGTTGAATTAGAACAAAATATGCAGGTGAAAAGTCCATTCCCTGTATCGATTTGGATATCCCTCATTAACTGAACATGAACTAGAATAACTGGTCACTTCTCTATTTCTAGCATGGTTTTATGTAGCCTGTAATTATAAGCTCGCAATAAAGTTTGCTACTCAGAAGGCAAGTGATTTGAGGTACAAGGGAAAGGTGACTGTTTCATACATTTGATGGGAAGTTATGACAGAAGTAAAACAAATTAAAATAACTGAGTAGGCATTGAAGTGACATCTGTAGAAATCTTAAAAAGTAGACTAGCTTCTCACTGGTTTAGTATGGCCCTGATTTTCAGTACATCTTGGATTCAAAAAGAGAGAATACCAGGCAAAAGTTTAAAGAAGGTGAGGGACTTCCCTGGCGGTCCAGTGGTTAAGACTTCGCCTTCAAATGCAGGGGGTACCGGTTCCATCCCTGGTTGGGGAGCTAAGATCCCACATGCCTCGTGGCCAAAAAACCAAAATATAAAACAGAAGTAATACTGTAATAAATTCAATAAAGACTTTAAAATGGTCCACATCAAAAACAAAATCTTCAAAAAAACTTTTTAAAAAAAGAATAAAGTAGTTGGCATTTTTTTCCATCCTTCCTTACCACCTGTATTACAGTTTTTCCTTCACTAGAATCACTTTCTGTTATTTATCTAGGTCACTCTTGCCAAGTGGAAAAGATATAGTTTTAAAACCTTGGTGTATGTTCCTTAGAGTCTATATTTTTAAAGCCAAACCCTTAATAGGAACCGGATCAATGACATGTTTTCATACACAATGGCATCTGGATAGGAAACATATTTTCAGCAATTAGACCTTTAAATCATTCAACATTTATCCATTTCTAAGGTCAGCCTGGGATTGATATTTTTAAAATTATTTACTTTAGCTACAAGAAACAAGGACAATTTATTTATCCAATAATATCTATCAAACACTTACTATGTATGAGTCAGGCACGAACTCATAGTGATCAACATCAGACAGAGGTCCCTGCTCTCATGAAGCATATATTCTTCGGAGGCTGCAATAATAAGACATATATACACAAGTAAATTTTGTCAAATGGTGATAAGTGGAAAGAATTAAAAATAGGAAAGTAAATTGTGCATATATAAAGTGATGGGATTGTAAACTTTTCTTCCCTAAGCAATAGGATGGAACATGCATTATCAGAGTGAAGGGATATTAGTATATACATAATTATTCATATGTATTTAGATTATTTTTCCCAGGCAGAACATATAACTGACTTCAAAATTATCTTTTAATTCTGCATTCCATTTATGCTAAAATTGGCACATGGAGTTCTGCAAATTCAATAGTAATTAGAGTCTGTTTCTGGAAGAGTGACAAATGTGTGGGCACTTATCCTAGGATTCAGTAAGTTCTTCTTGGAGACTTTGTTATTAGTGCAGAAATCAAAGAGTCCTATAAACTTCACTAATTTATTTAACAAATATTGATTAGGCTTCCTTTATGTGCTAGGCACTGGATATACATGTGGTCAAGCATGAAGCAGAAAGAGCTCTTGATGACACAGAACTTAGGACCTGTAAGAAATATAGATAATAAATCATTTCACCAGTTAAGAGTATCAAGAAAGGTGAAGTAAAGGGTGCAATGAGAATACACCACAAGGATAGGACATGGACACCAGTGGTCATTTAAAGACTTCTTGGGGAAGTAGAATTAACACTGAGTCTGCAGGAGGAGTAGAAGTGAGCTAGTATAGTGTTGGAGGGATTCTGGACGATGGAGAAGGTGGGATAATTGAGAGGAGGCAGAGATCAGCATTTCAGAGTTCTGTAGGCAAGAGAGACTCTGGTGAGTATGGGGAGCAGAAAGACTGGGAAAGCAGGAAAAACCAGTGATGGAAACGTAGGCAGCTCTGACTCTCTTACACTTTATAGTCCACGTTAAGATTTTGTTTAACCTTATCCTAAGGAAATGGGAAGTTAAGCAAATGTCTTAATAGGGTAGAAAGGGGACACAATGAAAAAAAAAGTTAATTTACAAAGCAAAAAAGTGGATAGAATTGGGCATGATTGAGAGAAAGGGGATCAGTTATGAGGATATTGCAGTAATAAGGGTGAGAAATCCTGTTAAGTTGGATGAGGATTGTGGCAGTGGTGGAAATAGAGGGATAAGAAAAACAGGAGATCGGTGATAGTTTAGATATCAGTTATGCTCAAAACATCTCACTTTGGCCATGGTCTGGGAGACAGCTTAAAAATCAAAAGCATTACTGGGTATTAAAGAAGGAGGATGTTTCTTAGCGAACAGGTATCTGAACACTTTAAGGCAGGTAGGCAAAGAATTTAACAGCTATTGCCACAAGTTCTGTATGTATTTATACTGGCTCCAAATGAGCTCAAACAACCTCATAAGCATTATCAAATTAACACCAGAACATCATTTTGAATAAAGTAAACTGCCAATAGTATTGTTTGATGCCTGTCTAAAGACTATATATTTTCTTGACTTTTGAGAGGAGATGCTGATTTTTGGCCCCTTGACATCATAGGAATTAAGTAAGTTTTATAGGCTTGGTAAGACCTTAGCTGCATCCTAAGTCCCAGTCCACTAGTGGGCATGAGCAGGCATGCACTTGGTTGTGGGTTTGTGGAAGATGGCTTAACTTAGAAACAGTCGAGAACAAATTGAAGAGTTTCTGAACAGCAGTATCATGCCTCTTATAACGCGTAAAATCAAGTTTCTGGTGCTCTTTTGCCACCTTTTGCCAAAAATTTGATTTGGAATCAGCTGTGTGATTGACAACACCTGTCTACTTTACTGAAGAGATATGACAACTTCTTTTCTGGGTAGCGCTGTACCCATCTTTGCAGGAATGGTTTGCAGGCAAGTGAATATGGGAATAGCATTCTCATGAAAACAAGCTCTACCACAAATGGGGAGAGCTACAAATCTCATTAAAAAGACATGGAAGCAACCTAAATGTACATTGAAGGAAGAATGGAAAAAGAAGATATGGTGCATATATACAATGGAATATTACTCAGCCATAAAAAAGAACAAAACAATGCCATTTGCAGCGACATGGGTGGACCTAGAGATTGTCATACTGAGTGAAGTAAGTCAGACAGAGAAAGACAAGTGCCATATGATATCACTTATATGTGGAATCTAAAAAAATAGTACAAATGAGCCTATTTACAAAACAGAAATAGAGTCACAAATGTAGAAAACAAACTTACGGTTACCAAGGGGGAAGGGAGAGGGGAGGGACAAATTGGGAGATTGGGACTGACATATACACACTACTATATATAAAACAGATAACTACTGATAATAAGAACCTACTGTATAGCACAGGGAACTCTACTCAGTACTCTGTAATGACCTATATGGAAATAGAATCTAAGAAAGGGTGGATATATGTATATATATAACTGATTCACTTTGTTGTACAGCAGAAACTAACACAACATTGTAAATCAATACTCTAATAAAAGTTAATTTTTTAAAAAGCCAGTGAAAATCAGGCTATAGACCAAAAATGACTTAGGCATGTCAATAAAATAAATAGAATAAGTTTTGCTTTTCTTCCTTTGGCCTGGGGATCTATATTCGTTTTCCTTTTTGTTGTTAGTTTCTGCTTTATAACAAAGTGAATCAGTTATACATATACATATGTTCCCATTTCTTTTCCCTCTTGCATCTCCCTCCCTCTCACCCTCCCTATCCCACCCCTCCAGGCGGTCACAAAGCACTAAGCTGATCTCCCTGTGCTATGCGGCTGCTTCCCACTAGCTATCTACCGTACGTTTGGTAGTGTATATATGTCCATGCCTCTCTCTCGCTTGGTCACAGCTTACCCTTCCCCCTCCCCATATCCACAAGTCCATTCTCTAGTAGGTCTGTGTCTTTATTCCTGTCTTACCCCTAGGTTCTTCATGACATTTTTTTTCTTAAATTACATATATATGTGTTAGCATACGGTATTTGTTTTTCTCTTTCTGACTTACTTCACTCTGTATGACAGACTCTAGGTCTATCCACCTCATTACAAATAGTTCAGTTTCGTTTCTTTTTATGGCTGAGTATTATTCCATTGTATATATGTACCACATCTTATTTATCCATTCATCCGATGATGGACACTTAGGTTGTTTCCATCTCCGGGATATTGTAAATAGAGCTGCAATGAACATTTTGGTACATGACTCTTTTTGAATTATGGTTTTCTCAGGGTATATGCCCAGTAGTGGGATTGCTGGGTCATATGGTAGTTCTATTTGTAATTTTTTAAGGAAGCTCCATACTGTTCTCCATAGTGGCTGTAACACTTTACATTCCCACCAAGAGTGCAAGAGGGTTCCCTTTTCTCCACACCCTCTCCAGCATTTATTGTTTCTAGATTTTTTGATGATGGCCATTCTGACTGGTGTGAGATGATATCTCATTGTAGTTTTGATTTGCATTTCTCTAATGATTAATGATGCTGAGCATTCTTTCATTTGTTTGTTGGCAGTCTGTATATATTCTTTGGAGAAATGTCTATTTAGGCCTTCTGCCCATTTTTGCATTGGGTTGTTTGTTTTTTTGTTATTCAGCTGCATGAGCTGCTTATAAATTTTGGAGATTAATCCTTCGTCAGTTGCTTCATTTGAAAATATTTTCTCCAATTCTGAGGGTTGTCTTTTGGTCTTGTTTATGGTTTCATTTGCTGTGCAAAAGCTTTGAAGTTTCATTAGGCCCCATTTGTTTATTTTTGTTTTTATTTCCATTTCTCTAGGAGGTGGGTCAAAAAGGATCTTGCTGTGATTTATGTCATAGAGTATTCTGCCTATGTTTTCCTCTAAGAGTTTGATAGTTTCTGGCCTTACATTTAGGTCTTTAATCCATTTCAAGCTTATTTTTGTGTATGGTGTTAGGGAGTGATCTAATCTCATACTTTTACATGTACCTGTCCAGTTTTCCCAACACCACTTATTGAAGAGGCTGTCCTTTCTCCACTGTACATTCCTGCCTCCTTTATCAAAGATAAGGTGACCATATGTGCATGGGTTTATCTCTGGGCTTTCTATACTGTTCCATTGATCTATCTTTCTGTTTTTGTGCCAGTACCATACTGTCTTGATTACTGTAGCTTTGTAGTATAGTCTGAAGTCAGGGAACCTGATTCCTCCAGCTCCGTTTTTCTTTCTCAAGATTGCTTTGGCTATTCGGGGTCTTTTGTGTTTCCATACAAATTGTGAATTCTTTTGTTCTAGTTCTGTGAAAAATACCAGTGGTAGTTTGATAGGGATTGCATTGAATCTGTAGATTGCTTTGGGTAGTAGAGTCATTTTCACAATGTTGATTCTTCCAATCCAAGAACATGGTATATCTCTCCATCTGCTTGTATCATCTTTAATTTCTTTCATCAGTGTCTTATAATTTTCTGCACAGAGGTCTTTTGTCTCCTTAGGTAGGTTTATTCCTAGATATTTTATTCTTTTTGTTGCAATGGTAAATGGGAGTGTTTTCTTGATTTCACTTTCAGATTTTTCATCATTAGTGTATAGGAATGCTAGAGATTTCTGTGCATTAATTTTGTATCTTGCTACTTTACCAAATTCATTGATTAGCTCTAGTAGTTTTCTGGTAGCATCTTTAGGATTCTCTATGTATAGTATCATGTCATCTACAAACAGTGACAGCTTTACTTCTTCTTTTCCGATTTGGATTCCTTTTATTTCCTTTTCTTCTCTGATTGCTGTGGCTAAAACTTCCAAAACTATGTTGAATAAGAGTGGTGAGAGTGGGCAACCTTGTCTTATTCCTGATCTTAGTGGAAATGCTTTCAGTTTTTCACCATTTACGACGATGTTGGCTTTGGGTTTGTCATATATGGCCTTTATTATGTTGAGGGAAGTTCCCTCTATGCCTACTTTCTGCAGGGTTTTTATCATAAATGGGTGTTGAGTTTTGTCAAAAGCTTTCTCTGCATCTATTGAGATGATCATATGGTTTTTCTCCTTCAATTTGTTAATATGGTTTATCACATTGATTGATTTGCGTATATTAAAGAATACTTGCATTCCTGGAATAAACCCCACTTGATCATGGTGTATGATCCTTTTAATGTGCTGTTGGTTTCTGTTCGCTAGTATTTTGTTGAGGATTTTTGCATCTATGTTCATCAGTGATATTGGCCTGTAGTTTTCTTTCTTTGTGACATCCTTGTCTGGTTTTGGTATCAAGGTGATGGTGGCCTCGTAGAATGAGTTTGGGAGTGTTCCTCCCTCTGCTATATTTTGGAAGAGTTTGAGAAGGATAGGTGTTAGCTCTTCTCTAAATGTTCGATAGAACTTGCCTGTGAAGCCATCTGGGCCTGGGCTTTTGT